AACAGGTGATAAGTCGGGCAGCGGCGTTCTGAACAGACTGGAGCTTTTTTAAAGCACACTTCGGTACATTGTACAAAAGAGAGTTGCAGTGGTCGAGTTCATGCCATTCTATGTAATACACCGAAAAAAATCAGGAGTCAAAATTTGATCATAGTACCACTTTAAAGATATGTGAAATTTAGTTAGTTTCAAGGAAACTGTTAGCCCAAATTTTCCAATTTCTTTTGTTTTTGCTAGCTATTGTTGTAAGGAAACACAGACGCGAACATAGAAGGGGAGAACAAGCCTAGGGATGTAATATTTTGTTGGGTTTTAACTATACTTACTTTCTGTTGCTCTGTGAGTTTGTCTTCCCTAGAATTGATTTCTTTTTGTTGTTCATCGACCAAAGCAGATAACTGCATCAGTTGTTTTCTCTGTCCTTCCAGCTCGCTGTCTTGATCTCGGATTCGTTCCTCGTATTGCTCGAGTTTTTGTTTCTGTTTATCACTCAACTCTCCCGCCATGTCGGACATGCGCGCGGCGGCACCAGCCAGATCTCGTCTTAACGCCTGTACTACATCTCCTTGACTCTCAGCTTCCTTTTTCGCCTGGGCTGCTTCCCGCCTAGGAAACGTTTAACAAACATTTCAGTTGTTACTTGAAAATAAACGTTTTAATTCCAAACTCACCCCAGAAACTCAAGAGTATTGCAATAAAAACATGCTAGCCTGCAGAACACGCGGCTAAGTGGGACAGAGCGCCAAGCGCGACAGCGTGCGCGTGCTGCCTCTTGCTCTTCCCCCATAAACCGCTGCAGGATAAGTCCACGCCATAACACGACATAAGTCCGTTTCCATAACTGTTTTAGAGGCCGAACACCTCAAAGCTTGCACTTCCTTTTTCTCCCACCACTCATTTAAATGCGATTGCAGGTTTCAAAACAGACACAGCCTCAACAGGTGAATGTATCAGATATTTTCCTTTCAGTGATTAAAAGAAAGAAAAAGGAGAAATTCTAGTAACAAATAAGCTGAAACCCGCTGTTACTATCCGCTGTAATACCCACTGTTAAGAGAAGAAAGGAGAAGCCATAAGCCACTATCAGTCTATAAAAATAGGTGTTCGATGCGCACATGAATCCACGGCCGTAGGTAAATGGATTAGGAATCTCTGCAGGACCTGGGTTTAATTCAATGTCTCCAGATAACAAAAGCTTCTTTTCTGACAAGAGGTAGTTCTTATTATCAAACTGAACTCGGACAAAAATTCTGGATAACATTTATAATTCCTACCAGAAGACCAACACTTTTCTTGTTCAAATTTTGTTTAAAAAAATCGAGTGAAAACAGACTCTTCTTCATGAGCAAGCTTGACAATCCACAGTTCACAGCCGGTAGCCACAGTGAATAATACAGATGAAACGGGAACACTTTTCTTCAAGAAATGTTTAATTCTGCCTCTTACTTTTCTGTGTTTAACTGATTTTAAAACTTCACGTGGTAATCTAGATGGTTCTCTGTCTCTTTTCCTACATGGAGCAACTGATAAGTATACTGATTAAAGATTAAAGATTTACTCCTACATGTACCTTGCCTAAGTGTAAACACTGGGAAGATTGACTTTCACTCCGAGTATTTGGAGAAAAAATACTAGTTACATAATGACCAGGCATAGCTTCTGTGGATGTGTTTTCCAAGGTCATGATTTCGTCAACTAAAGCTTTTTGTTTGCACTCTACTAAGAGAGTCATATCTCCTTAAGAGGAACTCCCACGTAATCGCGGTGGAATTGACTGCGTTGTGTTCTGACTGCATTATCCTTCGAAAGGGATGCGTACTCCCTCGAAAGGGCTGTATAATCCCTTGAAAGGGTCGAATTATCCCTTAAAAGGCCTGAATAATCCCTCTAAAGGGATTCGAGTTTCCTTGAGAGGAATGAATTACCGCGAACGGTGAATTCGTGATTTCTGTGCTATTTGAGTCGCCCAGTGATCGATGTAATCGGCCTGATTGCAGATTCTGTTCTACATTTCGAAATGCTGTTTTAAAATTTGAGTGCAGGGCATGTCCTCTGCATCACAAGCAACATTAGGGACCTTTATACGATGCAAGGACGGGAAGGCCAAGACGGGAACGGCAGTGGACGCGGGAAATAAACTTTCGCGTGCCGTGTCGCCAAAGGCAAAATGCTTTAAGATATGTAATTTTCGTATAGGACGGCGACGTCAATATCTCTAGCTTCATAAAAGCTTTTCATAAAACCAATGACATCCCTTTGAGATAGTATAGAAATATTATCCAGTTAAGCTTAAACGATGGTGAACAGATCTGTCGGTATTTAATATTGAAAGAATCCAGAATTTCCGTATGAAGAATTTGTGAACGCTCTTTGTATCGACCTGGTTCAGATAGCTTTTTGTCAGCAGAGCGTTTTAGAATCGATCCTGCCTGTAGCTGAAACAAATATTTATAATAAAACAAATATTACGTTGAGTTCCGGCTTGTATGAAAACATGAAATAAACATCAATTTGCAAATGCGCACTTTATTTGCTCAATAGCTGCTTTGAAGGCACGTAACAATCATATTTCCAATCAAAACCTTTCGGAAACCACTCAAAATCATGCAAGATCATTCGAAAACAATGTTTTGGCGCATTCGTTGATAGCTGTACCTGGTTATATCATAAAAATATAGAACACTTGTCTGCTCACCAATTCGTGTCACTTCGAAGAGCGTGGGAAAACGAGTCTGCAATGTCATACGCCCGGTCAGCGGTTAGAGATCGTAGTCATTGATAATGCTCCGTAACGCTATGCTTCTGCTAGTAAATTCGCATTTTTTTTTCTCCGTTTTGACAACCAACTCCCTCTTACGAACATTGACAGGTTTGACTAACCGAAAGTCTACCGACAAATCAATCGTGACTAATCTTCATTTTGTCGCTCTCAATCGTGCGGTCGGTCATTCGGGAATTAATCGGGAAGCGATCTTCGCACATCCGAAGTTTGATTAAGTACGAATATTCTTTTGTTACACATTTTTGGTTAACGGACACGCTCGATGACATCGAATCTACAACCCTCCGGCCGTAGATTCAAAAATTAAGGACGAGCAACTAGGAAGTCAGCTGTAAGGCAGTAGGTTATTCTGTAAATGGTTAAAAGAAAACGCTGAGAAAAGAAAACGCTATTTCCGCGACCTTCAAACAAGAACGCAAGAAATAAACTAACATAATTTTTGCATAGTAATGACCAACAGTCCATTTCTTTCACGTTCAAAAATACGCGCCAATTACCTTAGCAACAGGACAAGCTGCTCTAGTTTATAGATGTCTGACTGTAAAGTAGCTTCCACGCTTGTCTGGGGCACAGTCTCAGTCTCGACTGATCTTGTCTGTGGTTTTGGATCTTTTCTTGGGGACTGAGGTCTAGAAGACGTCACAGGCTCTTTCTTAGGGGAGGAGGGTCGAGAAATTTCTTTACGCGGTGAAGATGGTCGACTCCTACCTGTAACAAAAACAAAAAACAACTGAACTTGCTTGATTGCAGTAAATTGTTAACGGGGTTGCCAAAAGAAGTTCAGCATAACATGCTACCGAATTTAAAGATTCACATTTGTGATGAAACTCAACACGTAAATGTTTTCGCTTGACACTTTGAGAGCCTGTTATGCAAATGGTGTTGGCGTTGCACGGTGCAGTCACTGAAATCTCAGATGGAGCAGGCAAATAACCAAAACTTAAATGTACATCGAAACTGACCATTATCTTGCAACTCACTGCTAGTTGCGGTACGTACTAAGATAAATCTAATGCATAAAATTCTATTCCAATAGAAGAAAGCCCATTTTCATGCGAGCTCTTCATTCAGATAGAATTTACATGTGGCAAAGTTTTTTTTTTGTACAAAAGGAAAACCCCTCGGTCGGAGCAAGGATGGGAACGAACAACCAACTCAACCCACTATGACTCCCAGCAGTAGTGTGAGGCCAAGGACCTTCAAACTGCAACATAGCTATTTCCCTATAATTGGAACCCATACTGTAATAAACAAAGTCAACATGGTACACTACATAACACACAAGGTCCTTTGTGTTCGTATTTAAAAAAAAAAAGTTCGATCCACATACTCTTTGAGCACAAAAACGAGACGTTAACGTGGCGTTAGCAAATGCTTGATATCCACACCTTTTCAAAAACTTGTATCATGTCCACGGGCGACAAAGCAAAATTTGTGCACAAACAGTGTTAGCAAAAAAAACGCAAAAGAACTCACCACTATCTAGCAGCTATAGAAGCTGTGATGTGCCAGTAAGACCAATGAAAACAAATGGTGTGTAATTCGACCAGCGAGTAACCAAGGATTAATTTAGCAGCGCTAATTTAGCATACGACACAGACAGCTCGAAATAAACCAGATAAAAATAATCCTTTACAGGTTCTTTACATTTTTACAGCCCTTGGGAATTCCTTTTCTCTATGTATTAAAACAAGGATTAAAACGTCTTAAACATGCGACTATAAAACGTAATTCGGTAAGTGATAACTCCATAACACGCCAGTGTGAAATGATAACTCTAACACAGAAATGGATCAAAACAAGAACACTCGTGAGTATGTTCTAGCTTTAACAAAATGTAATTTTATCGAGCAAATTCTAGAATCTAGCACATTTAAGATTTCCACCAGGGGAAGGTGTGAGCACACCATTCCGACTTATGGTCGCTTATTCTGCGGTTTTCTAGATACAGTTGAACCTCGGCCACTTTTTTGTCCCGCCGGACGGTCCATAAATTCACTTTAATTTTAACCTCTCCACAACGGTAATGGCCACTAAAACGCGTCCGACTGCAGAAATAACCTCTCGACAACGGCCAGTTTACCAGTGACTGACGAACGGTGTATACAAAACTTCATTTTTTATTGCAAAAGGTCACTAAACTTAATGATCCACACCATGCTTCGTTAGTCTCTGTTTCTGTTTAGTTTCTGATTTATTGATATAATTTGATTGTGTTACGCACAGTTTATATGCTAAAATAAGCATTTTGTAAGAAAAGACCCGAAAAAACAGGTGTCGTGTTACACCCCACCTCCCCATAACGGCCACCTCTCTATAACGGCCACTTACCTCTGTCCCCATGGTGGCCGTTGTGAAGAGGTTCGACTGTAATTCATTATTGAATTCATTGACAAAATTGATTAATCTATAAATTAATCAATTAATTTTACAATCTTGAGATGACAGACACACAAATTGATTCAATCTGTAGTGCGGGCTGGAAAGCTAAATTAGCCAGTTGGTTTTCTTGTTAGCCCCGCGTACATTTTAAGTTCTGAATAGACAGCAGGAGAATAGAAAGAAAACAAAGAAATTAACTACAACACGTGAAAGAATTGATTGTTCAGCTACACTAGTTTGTACTCCAGACTTATAACGTAACTCTTAAGATGATTGACAACTATTTACTACTCACCAGTGATTTGTTTGGAATACATTGCGTCCTGTTCAAGTTGTCGATTTTGTCTGGTCAGTCTTAGGAGTCTCTCTTCCATAGCCACTATTGTGACAGCGTGTTGCCGAGTTTGCTCCTGTTAAAAGAAGTTCATTTAACTTTGTTATGTAGTTTTAGATACATTTGAAACTCAGTGATGTTCGGCTCTCCTCTCAAGATATGTCACTTGTAACATTGAAATTTAATTTCTTGTTCAACGGCTCCAATCTTTTTTCAGATTTCTGTTGACCAAGGTTTTTGGCTTAACGATTAGCTGCATCAGCAGATTTATGTTTCATCCTGATACATTTTGGAAGGAACGGGGTTACGAAGAGAAGGAAACTGCGTGAGACCAAGGCGAGAAAATAATTTGCGCTCAAGACTCATTCGTGCGGGTCCGCCAGATACAAGGTAAAGGTACTAAACAGACATCATCACGCTACAAGCATAGTATGACGGGATGATCAACAGCTCAAACAAAACCTGAAAACAAAACATTGATGATATGCGCCAGGAAAGGTCGGGTAATTTCGCCTAATTAAAATAAAATTGAGTTGTGTTCCAGGTTGTCCAAAAAGATAGATCCGTGAGTCTATTAATCATCCAAACTAAAAGAAGCTGAATTAAACCCTAAGTCCCTTCACAATCACGTACCTTAAAAGAAGCAACCTCTTGCTCTTTGTAATTTTTCAGATCTTCCTTTTCACGTTCAACACGAGTCAGCTGTTCCTTGTGTGCAGCGGCTTGCTCGTGAAGCTGGGTTCGTAAATGATTCTGGAAGAACATTTAACATAGACTTAAAGTTTGACACCTGTCTAAGTATTAACTCATTTCCTTTCCTTTCCCGACAGTATGACTATTATTGGCATATAAAGATCATGAAAACTGAGGTAAATATAGCATGTCCAGTGATTTTGGAATCTAGCTTAGGCTTGTGGCTAAGTACTACTCCACTGCTACTATCGACTGCTAGCAATCACTCGTCCATTTCTTTCAAGCTCTTTATTTCTCAACGCCTATTCTGTCCTTCTAAATTCCATTTCGATCTGGAAACAGTGGAGGAAGAGCCTGTCCGTGTGATGTGTCACTGCAAATTACTATTTCTTATTTATTAATGTAATTATTTGCTTTAACCTCAAGGAAGTACGAGTTCATTCGCTAAGGAGAAACTTGTAAAGATGTGGAGCATGTAACACTTCAGCGCTCACCTCAGTTTCTTTAGCTCTCTGCAATCCATCTTTAGCTTGTTCATACTGAGACTTGGCTGTTGCTAAAGCAACTCGGTGATTCTCTAACTCCTTCATTCGATCATTTAGAACCTATATGAATAGACGTTTCAACATGACTATATAGATATTACGCCATCAATTTTTTTAAATAATTTAGTGAATAAAAACTGATTTACGAAAGTAAACTATGATCGTGTAACAGAGTTGCATGATCATCCCAAAGGACGAGAGAGATCATTCGGTGTGCTCCAAATTCTGCTCGAGCTTTTTTGTAACACCGAAGACATTCACGAACTGAACTCATCGCCCACGCGAATGTAAATATTGATCTCCTTGCTGAGATTTTAACACGTTTCACTCTGTTAAAAGCTAGATGAAGAAATCTAAATTTGCGTTGTTAGCGGCACTTCTCCCGCAATCTCTTAATAAAATAAGCGACTTTATAAGAGGAATAGGCTAATTTGTACGACTTCACACTATCACTTGCACTCAATAAGCCGCCAGCTCTACAGGTTTATGAATATCAAACGCAAACACACAGGCAATCTCCAAAGAGATCCACCCTTCTAACCTGCTGTAACTGTGTGACGCTGCCATGTTGTGATTCCAAGATTCTTCTTTCAGCATCCACGGCCGCTTGTATTCTTTCTCGTTCCTTTTGTTTCATTTCCTGAATCACCGCCTGTTGTTTTTCATCCTCCTCAGATCTCACTTCAGCGACTGCTCTGGATATGTGTTTTTCTTCCTCTATCTTCATGTCCTCTCGTACTTTTAACAGAACTTCTTGATGGGTCTCTTCCATTTCTGCAACTCTGCACAAATGAGGTTTAATAATACCAAAGAATTTAAGATCAATTCTTCAGGGATAACCAATAATTGAAATGAATCAGTTTAATTTTGTCAAAATAAATGATGTTGTATGTTAAGCTTGCTAGAATCAAAGCGGGAAAGACAATGATAAAAGCTACTCGGAAAAAAATTCCGAGTTCTCCCAATTGGAATGGAGCCTATTACCTGTGCGCAACTGAGGTCGTAGCTACCACTCGTGTCGGAATTCTCTTTCGGAGTAGCTTGTGCAATTGAAAAATGCTTTTCTCGCATTCTACTTATGTTATGAGCTTTAATTTCCAATTCAATTTGTTCTAGTGCTGACTGAGTGGAATGAGAGTCAGTTTGAGTGGCTAGTAAGTGGTTATTTAATGCTATTTTGACTGTGGAACCATTCTGCTTGAGTTTATCATCAAGAAAAACCGCGTAACACACAAACAATCAAGCATAAAATCGGGAAGAAGGAAAATGGAACAATAGTCGTTGACGATGTACCTTACTTCAGAACATCAGTTAGCTGAAGAAGTTCAGTAGTTACTGAATGAGAACAGCATTTTCAGTGAGTACATTTTAGCTCCAATGTAGAAAAACAGTGAAATACTCCTTACTTTCCCTTTAGCTTTCGGCATTCCTCCTTCTGATCTCTTAATTGACGACACAAATCTTCCACGCTGACGGAGGTTTCTGAAAAGAATGGAAAGAAAATTAATTACTCATTTCCTCTAACTCAATTACTAACAGATCGTCTTCACGGCTGCCATATTGATGTTCTTAAACAATAGGAAGTGTTTGTATGAGAATATAACCCATTTGCCAAAAGGAGAGAAATTTCGCTGTTATGAAGAAATAATGAACTATCGATTGGCGGCCGCCGCCGTAACGTCATGTAAAAACACAACCTAAAGACACCGTGACATTTACGGATGTAAAATCTATGTTTGGAGATCTAGCATGCTTTTAGCCAACGATTCCTGATTGGCCAATAATATTCGGAAGCTGTTCGGATAGGTGACGAGGGTTTCCCGACTGTACCAAGCACTCGTTATCCTACTAACGAAACACTGTCGTGTTAGAAGATACACTCACCCGAATCTGAGTCATCTGCTGCGTGTTTCAGAGCTTCTTCTGCCTTCTGCTGCCAGGCAGCCTCGTTCGACAACATTTTACAAACAAAGTCCTGCAGGAAAAATGCGAGGATCCAGTTAAGCTAAGACTATCATTCTAAATCATCAGAAAGCTCATTGCTTAACACACTTTCTCTGATCCCAGTATTTTTATTATATTTTACTTTGGTTTCATTGCATTATCTTTATTACGTTTATCTTGACCTAATCAATCAGAGTTAATGCTAGATAATTGTACCACGTATTGTGGAATAAAGCGGAATCCAAGACAGCAATACTACAAATGAACTTGACGTTCCACGGGAAAACGTTTGTATCACAGTTGTTTCAGCTACCGATGTGAAGATGATTGTACCTTTATCCAAGCAAGAGAATCGTGAGTTGTAAGTTCCTCGACTAGCGTCAGTTCTTCTTCCAGAGAACTACATGTGCGACCAGATTTCCACAACCGTTTCTAAGGAGAGATGCCACAAATAATAAGAGTCGGCGGAGACACTACTCAAAAATCCGAGTTTAAATAAGGATGTATGCGTGTATATGTATGTATGAAAAAGTACATCACAATCAGCACTGCATAATTAGGTGCAGCCTGCGAACGCAGACGTATTTCCGGCTGTCGCTTGTCTCCGCCGAAAAATAACGTCTGCAAACCCGAGCCAGGAAACGATTTCTCTGACGTAGGAATTTTAAGCCAATCACAGTTTAGCTCAAGTAGCCCCAGAACTACTGCGCGAGGTATTCGCTGTTTCATTTTATCATGGAATCTGATTGGCCAAGGAGAAACAAAAGTCATTACGTCACAGAAATCGTTTCCTGGCTCGGGTTCGCAGACGTTATTTTTCG